GCACCATGACTTTATATTCTATACTGTACATTATTTCTGTTAAGTGAAAAGACTTTTGTCTGAACAAAGTCAGACCTTACTGTCCTAATTAAATCATTAAAAGTCAAGACATGATCATATTTTATTTTGGTAAAATAAGCGTAATCTAGAGGATTTTGCCTTTCATAAAGGCTACTTCTGTTACCAAATGATCAACTAGAAGTCAAGCTATTATTTGTTGTTCCTAAAACTTAGATAGGCGACATGACTTTTGTAGTGTACACCTACACATATTTCTCTTCAAACTGTGTCCAAAAGTTGATTCGGCATGATAGTGTTCTTTAATTTTAGGGGACTTAAAAAAAGAGCCTGCTTTCAAAAAAAAAGTGGAGTGTTTCTTTAAGATGGTTAATCGATATTGGGTGTACCAACTTTGATGTTTGACGTGAACAAACACATCAGACAAAATAACAGCCTCAACGATTGAATCTGACAGATAAATCGGATTTAAACAAAACCCAAGCTCTTCCCAGCATTCCCTATGGATCCTGGAGCGTGTGCACACATTGAAGAGCTATCTGACATGACCAAAATAACCTCTCCAGTCTTGAGGACAGCAGGAGGCAGGCGAAACACCACGCGGTCTTGTCGGGACAAATCGTATCTAATTCTTTCTGCTGATTGAAATTAATATCATGTCTTTGTCGTCACGCCTCTGAGATCCACCACCCTCCGTCTTTCTTTCTTTCTTTCTTTCTTTCTTTCTTTTTTTCTTTCTTTCTTTCTTTCTTTCTTTCTTTCTTTCTTTCTTTCTTTCTTTCTTTCTTTCTTTCTTTCTTTCTTTCTGTCTATCTGGATGTCTATCCATCCATCCATCCGTCCGTCTGTCCATCAGGATGTCTATCTATCTATCTATCTATCTATCTATCTATCTATCTATCTATCTGGATGTCTGTTCATCCATCCATCCATCCATCCATCCATCCATCCATCTATCTATCTAGATGTCTGTTTGTCTGTCTCCGTCCATCCATCTTCCTAAAAAGTAAATAAATACCCTATATATCCAGTCAATCTAGAGAAACATCCATCCATCCATCCATCCATCTATTTTTTTATGTTTTAATGCAATATCATCAGCATTAGCTATATTTATGGGAAAACCTATACCAAATATAGGCTACAAAATATAACATGCAATCATATTGGTTTCATAATAAACAACACTTAAAATAGACATATTCAATCTTTTAGTTTAATTAATTATAAATAATCTAAAAATTCCACCTTTTTAAACAATTCACTTAAACTACAAATTTCCCGAATAAAATCGTTCTCTGTTTCCGGCTCTCTCTTTTACTCAACACAAGTGTGCCTGTGCGACTGGAGGCTTCATCTGAGGTTGCCCGTGACCAGAAAGGGCTGCGCAGTCAAGCGTTTTTCGGCCCAGCAAGCGCTCTATGCTGCTGTTTGCCTCATTAGATCACACGGATCAAGGCAGGTGCAATCACTTTCACAGCAGCTGAGCGAACAGCATCCGTCAGCGGCGCACGGTGACCCTGTGACCCAGTCGCATCACTACCGCTCAGGCAATTCATCACTCATATTGGCAGCTTCAAAGAGAGCCGTCCTGCAGAGAGGCAACAAGATTATCTCCTTCATGCTAAACATCTTAAACGCTCCTGACACATTCCTCCAAACTGCCTATGCTACTGTTTGTGTTCATTTAATGTTGTTTACTTATAGTCTCGCTGTCATTTTCAGTCATGCCAAGTACGCTTTTCTTCAACACTTAGTCTGTAATGAGATGAATGACAACACAAGCACTTGAGTCGACTAGATTGAGTGTGCAGTCATTTACAGAGCTGGGAATGATGTTTCCTTTAATTCGAGAGCAATCTGTGTGTCTTCCTTTCACACAAGCACATACCAATGCATTCTGGAACTCAGGGATAAACCATTGTTTTATGCAGACAGGAAAGCAGCATCATCAGAAATCTGATGATTGATGCACTAGAATGAATATAGGATGTATTTAAGCAGTCTTTCTCAACCACGTTCCGGGAGGTGCCACCGGCTCTGCACATTTTCAATGTCTCTTTAATCAAACACACCTGATTCAGATCATCAGATCATTAGCAGAGACTGAAACACCTGCACTGGTGGGATGGACAAAGGAGACATCCAAAACATGCAGTGTTAGTGGTCCACCAGGAACGTGGTTGAGAAACATTGTTTTTTATTTTATTTATTTATCTATGTATTTATTTAATTATTTTTGCATTAGGCAAATGGCCAAAAAATAGTCTAATGGCTAATTTTTATTATATTTAAAAGCATTAAAAGCAAAAAAGAGTCCCTTTTTAATCTTATGCTTTAAAAAAAAACATATTTTTTACTGTTTTATTGTTGTTTTATTGCTGTTTTATTTTATTAATTAATTAATTAATTAGTTTGTTTGTTTGTTTGTTTGTTTGTTTGTTTGTTTGTTTGTTTGTTTATTTATTTGTTTATTTATTTATTTATTTATTTATTTATTTATTTATTTATTTATTTGTTTGTTTGTTTGTTTATGTTTATTAATTTATATTTATTAATTTAATTTTGCATTCGGCAAATGGCCAAAAAATGTCAAATGGCTTTTTGTTTTTATAAATGTTTTACCAACAGTTTAAGTCAGAATTACTTGCCCCCCTTTGAATTTTTTTTTTAAAAATTATATTTTATATATATATATATATATATATATATATATATATATATATATATATATATTTTTTTTTTTTTTTTTTTTTTAAATGTTTACAAATGATGTTTAACAGAGCAAGAAATTTTTTCCCTGTATGTCTGATAACATTTTTTCTTCTGGAGAAAGTCTTATTTGTTTTATTTCGGCTAGAATAAAAGCAATTTTTAATTTTTAAAACCATTTTAAGGTCAATATTTTTAGCCCCTTTAAGCAGTTTTTTTTCAACAGAACAAACCATCGTTATACAATAACTTGCCTAATTACCCTAACCTGCCTAGTTAACCTAGTTAAGCCTTTAAATGTCACTTTAAGCTGTATAGAAGTGTCTTGAACAATATCAAGTCAAATATTATGTACTGTCATCATAAAAGAAATCAGTTATTAGAGATGAGGTATTAAAACTATTATGTTTAGAAGTGTGTTGAGAAAATAATAACTCCGTTTAACAGAAATTGGGGGAAAAATAAACAGGGGGGCTAATAATTCTGACTTCAACTGTATATTAAAAATTATATTTTAAATAAAATAAAATGAAAACGAAAATGAAAGAACAGCTCAAATGTTGTTCTTAAATAAAGTGTTACAGTGATGTACAATTGTTAGTCATTTGACACTTTTATTACCACACAAAGTTATTTATCTTTCATATTATCAATAGTTATTAAAAGCTGATTTAAGTTTTGCCAGCATGCATTGACTGCTTCATCAAATATGCGGAATATATATAGCATGCAGTGCTCAGCATAGTTGAGTACACTCTGTTTTGAAGATGAATATTTTTATCCATTTCTAAGTGAATATAGGGAATGTATTTTGGTGCATTTAAACAAAAAAATATATATTAAACAGATATATTTATAAAAAAAATAATATTTTAGTCGCTAAATAGTTAGAAATTGAAAGACAATACAATTAAAATAAAGAAAAATATTGCAAAAAAATTTACATTTTTTGATTCTCTTTTTCAAATTTGTATTTAATATTTTTTTATAACATATACATTTAGGTGTACTAGTTTTTGCACTGTTATGGTAAGTTATTTTGTCAAATAAGTTCCAGATTTGTATCTATATACACAAATATATGCACAATATGATATGTATATGCATATATGTGAGGGGTGTACTAATATATGCAGAGTACTCGATATTTATATATACAATTAAAACTGGTGTATAAAACACTTATTGAAATACTCAATCATTCTTTTAAAAAAATTTCTTTATACAATATAAAATTAGTTTTGTTTTCCTGATTTTTAAGTGAATTACATATGGGGCATCTTTTTGATATCTTCAGTGATATTCACTTCTACGCCAAGACTATCATGCAGTCATGTCCAAAAACATGCATAGCCATGTACAAAAAAACTTGCTCACTGTTGCTCACTAATCCATTATTTAATTCAAATATAACCAGACTTGAAAACAAACATCCTCATTTCTCAAGACTCGATCACGTGAGTTAAATATTAAATACTTAAGGCTTATAAGAAAGTCGCTCCCGATTATGTCACTGTCTCTGCAGTGCTGAACAGATTTATTAAACAGATATATTTATTAAAATAATATTCTAGCCACCAAACAAATGTGGAAATGGAAAGATCATACAATTAAATTCAAGCAAAATACTGCAAAAAAGATTACAACCAACAAAATTTCCACTACATTTTTTTCTTCTCTTGATTTTTCCTCTTTTTTATATTTGTTTTTAATATTTTTTCTACAACAAATACATTTGGGTGTACTAGTTTTTGGACCGTTATCGTAAGTTATTTTGTTAGATTAGCTCCAGATTTGGCTAATCTAATGTATATGCACACAAATAATATTGTATAGCTTCCTATTAAAAATAATAATTTACAAGAGAGATTTGTGAGGGGTGTACTTATATATGCTGAGGTCTGTATATATATGATTAAAACTGAAACACTTATAAAAATACCCAATCGATCTTTTAAAAGGCTTAACTTTCTTTATACAAAATAGAATTTGTTGTGCTTTCCGGATTTGGAGTGAAATATATATGAGGCATTTTGTTAATATCTTTAGCCATATTCACTTCTACACCAAGACATGTCCTAAAACATGCATTGCCATGTAAAAAAGAAAAAAAACTTGCTCACTGTTTTCTAAATCCATTATTTCATTCAAACATAAACAAACAAAAACAATATAAACATAAAACAATATAAACATAAACAAACGTGAAAACAGCCTCATTTCTCAAGACTCGATTACGTGAGAACAAATATAAGATTCTCAAGGCTTACGATAAGAGAGTCGCTTCCGAATATGTGTTGCTGTCCGCGGTGCTGAACATCAGTCTTAAAACGGAGCCGTTTCAGTGCGTTACAGACTCGATTTGCCCTCCAGCTGCAAATATCTTCAGCTCAAGACTATTTTTAGTCTCGAAGCATCAAATTTGGTGTCTATTCACGTCAGCTCTGTGCCTGACGCAAAGCTTCAGTGTCCACAAATGAACTTCCAAGCAGCAAACACGCACGCACACACACACGCACACACACACACACACACACACACACACACACACACACACACACACACACACACACACACACACACACACACACACACACACACACACACACACTTCAGTCCTCTGCAAACCAAAGCGTCACATTAATCCTCCTATATATATTTAACTAATTACCAAATAAACACAATACAGCAGCGCAAAACATCAATCCCAAAACCAGCAAATCTTAAAGAGCGTCTTTAAGGAAATGCCAGCACACAGAGTCGGCGCAGCTGAGAATCCGAATCGCGTGAATTCACACCGCAACGAACGCTCATGAAGCCCTATGAACAGCTGCAGCCACATGTGCATCGTTCCTCCAATAAAACATTTGCATTTACCTTCACACCTAAAAATAAGCAGCCAGCGACCATTTCTGAACACCGCGCATGCATCCCGGCGCAAAATGCACGCTTTACAACACCAAACGACACGCAACGACTTTTAAAAAAATGCAGTGTAAAAGTGATGCACTAGGAAAGATTGTCCAAGGAAATGTTGAGGCATTGCTGCAATATGAAGAAATGAAGCTCATTACAGAATAATATGAAATAATAACAATCCAACATACTGAAAGATGCATTTGCAGCAGACTATGTTTCGAGTATATATGTATACCGTATAGCTGCCGTCTTCACTCCATCAGAGCGGTTGATTTCAGCCCGAGAATCCAGCTGCTGTCTGCTGATCCCCGTGTCTTACATCCCCCACATCATCTCTCCTCCTGCGAGCGAGAGTTTGGGAGACTCTGCGGGGGCGTGCGGTGGGCAGTGAGCTGATGCGAGGCTCCCACGATCAGCTCCAGCTTCACTGACTGCCCGCACATGCACAAGACCAGCTCTGCTTTCCACTAGGGGGGAAACTTATTCAATTAGCTCAATTCTTGCAATTGCATTATTATTTTGATATTGCACCCTATCATGTGTGTGTGCTGTGTAGGGGATGTTTGACGCCTAATATGTTCGTTTTGCAATAATGATGATGATGACAATACTAACATAATTGCTGGTTAATGTGATTTTGATTCTTGATGATATTTATGAAATGTGTGCGTTTGTGTGTGTGCAGCAGGGCAAAGCTGATATAATTAGATTCAGTGCCTGCTCTAGATTATGCAATGGTGTATTAAACGCATGTGAAATATAAAATTAGAATTAGTTCACCCAAAATTGGAAAATTCTGTCATTGTTTACTCATCCTCTACGTCACAAACGTTTTTGAGTTGAACACAAAAGAAGTTGTTTTAAAAATGTTGAAAACCTGAAACTTTTAACTTCCATAATATGTTTTTTTCTACTATAGAAGTCAATGTTTACAGGCTCCTAACATTTTATGTCTAATTTCGTGTTCAACAGAAAAAAGAAAACTGGGGAGGAACTAATTGATATGTAAATTGTAAATTTCTTTAAGGGCTTAAGAATGCATTGTTGGTGCATTCATTTGTTTCACAATTTAGCATTTGCTATATTTCGATTTTGATATTCAAAACAGAATTTTGGGCAAACATTAAACTTGAGTTGCATAATATATCGATTCAGAATTGACATGGCAACATGTGCATTTACAATACTCACATTGCAGGATTATATTTTAGCAGGCACCACATTTTGGAGGACATGTGTTTGTGGAAAATAATAGAGTGAAGTTTATCATTTGCATATGCTTTGTGACTTTGATATGACTGTATTTTCTTGTGCCTGAATGATTTAAAATCACTTAACCCTTGTGCACTGTCAAAATACTACCATTCACTCTCAGAAATAAAGGTACGTGCACTGTCACTGGGGTGGTACCTTTTTAAAAGGTACAGGTTTGTACCTAAAAGGTCTATATTAACACCTCAAGGGTAAATATTGGTACCTAAAAAGTACAAAAGTGTTCCTCTTATCAATTTTTAGGTACTAATATATACTTTTGAGGTACCGATATATACCTATATATATTCTGAAAAGGTTCCACCCCAGTGACAGCTCACGTACCTTTATTTCTGAGTGTTTCATTATGTTTGGGATGAAAACAACCAGTAAATGAAACTGCTGTAAAAATGCATCCGATAAACATTTTTTTGCATCTGTTAATGAACCTCAGTTCTGATCAAAACTATTAAATTGCTTAGAACATTTAGTAATAAATTATGTCACTGATTTGGTGAAAAAACACACACAACATGACGTATTTTCAATTTAAAAAGTTATTGTGGACTGGATTTTTTTACCTTTTATCACAGTCAACATTGGCTTTGAGGCATTGTTAGTTTTTGTGCAGCATAAGAGTTTCATTTGTTCTCCCTAATTTACTGTTGGTGGCTGTTTTTGCCCTATTGACTTTCAATATAACCACATTTTTTCGATTGCAAAGCCATGCCACCATATAATTATGCATTCTTGATTCTTGGTGGTTTTCCTGGTTGAGAAGCGGTCAAATTTGTAATTTTTAGTGATGACCATCAGTTGGCACCATTAACTCTTTAGATAGGTTTGCACAAAAAAAGCTTAGTTTCTGGATTTTATATGGAGTTATATGGAGTATTCAATGAGCTCTATGCACAGCTGTTTTTCAGCCAATGATAAACTTCTGGCGAAAGCTTATTGTGACTATTTTTAATTTCATAAGAGTTTACAGCATTGAAGTTGTAACGTTATTACAATAAATTCAGTTTAATAGACTTAAGCATTCATTTAGTTGTTCAAGCGTAAAACGAGATAAAAAATGTGTAACCACTAGCGCCGTCAAGATTAGCAGGCAAGCGCAGAAACTCCATTGAAAATACTGCGGTTACATAAACTGTCATATTTTAAAGACATGGCAAGGAAAATAGAATTTAATTCCGGGCTTATTGTCTGGTCTGAGACCCACTTTATATTGTATATCTATCAGGCAGTGAAGATCACCGATTTTTAAAGAAATCAGATCTTATACGTGGCAGTTTTTTAATGGAAAGCGCTGATGCTGGCTGGCTGAAGTTAAAAGTCGATGTGCATATGGCCCATTATTCCTATTCAATTATTAATCAATTTCTGTACCTCAGTACTGTTAGATTGCACAGAAAATCATAAAGCACTATGTACTTCATTTGTATCTTTGTTTTGTAGTATTTATGTATGCTTGTAATTTATTATATTTTATGTAAATGCAATAAAATCATTTCAGTCAGGATTTTTTCAACACATTTCTAACACATTTCTGATTTATTTGATCTTTGCCATGATGACAGTATATAATATTTGACTAGATATTTTTTAAGACACTTCTATACAGCTTAAAGTGACATTTAAAGGCATAACTAGGTTAATTAGGTTAACTGGGCAGATTTAGGCAAGTTATTGTATAATGATGGTTTGTTCTGTAGACTATGTAAAAAAATAGATACCTAAAAGGGGCAAATAATTTTGAACGTAAAATGTATTTTAAAAAATTAAAAACTGCTTTTATTCCAGCCTAAATAAAACAAATAAGAATTTCTCCAGAAGAAAGAAATATTATCAGACATACTGTGAAAATGTCCTTGCTCTGTTTAACATCATTTAGGAGATATAAAAAAACAACTAATAAATACTTTAAGAGCTCTAAGTTCTGTGTAAAGGTTTCAAATGTAAAATACAAATTATGCCATATTTGATGCACTAACACCCTCAACTTGTTGCATGACGGTATTGATTTCATAATTAGGCTATTAGTATGTATTCTTATTTTTTTGCAGCCACTGAGCAGTTTCTATACTGTTTTCCAGAGTAAATGTTGCATATTTCAGTTAAAGGACACCTATTTCCCCCCTTTTTCAAGATTTAAAATAAGTCTTTTGTGTCTCCAGAATGTGTCTGAAGTTTCAGCTTAAAACACCCATCAGATTCTTTATTATGCCTTTAACAATATTGGGATTTTCTGCTCTAAACACACTAGCTGTTTTAGTTGCCTGTGTCTTTAGTGCTAGTTCTCCCTGCCCACCATTCCCACATGCCTGTCAGAGTGTGTTTCAATTTCCGGCTGCGTCAGATAAACAGCACAGTGACAGACATAAAGAAAGCAGAACTTGCGTAACGTTAGTGAGAAATACAACAATGATTATTATTTAATGTATTTGTTGTGGAGTTGCATTACGCGTTACTACAATGACATGTTAATATGCAGCTGTCAATCAATTTTGAGGGCGGGGAAACTGCACTCTTACATCACGTTGCGGTTGGCCTCAAAATAGCAAGGATTTGGATCCTTAACATTAGGACACTTTAAAAAGAGACTTTTTGTGTTTCTATCACTCCAATATGACTGTTGACGCACTATATCTACACACAGTTCAGTCCAAACAGCTTACAAAAGATGATTTTCATCATAGGTGCCCTTTAAATCTGACTTATGAGAACATTTAAGCATTGTGTGCATGGACTCAACTGCAATGGCACATTAAACCCATGCACAATATAAAATATGCCAGATCTGACCTACTTAAGCCATCAATAATGAATGCATAATTGATAACGCCTTGTTGTCATGACAGAGCATTTAGACTATTCTCCTATATTTTAACTCTGAAAGTGCTTTGTGCAATCAGACTTCTTGTAAGTGCATCTGTGCAGCTTCTATGATTATAGCTGCGTGCATTTAAGATAAATTTGATGCTTGAGGACAAACGAGTGCATGAGCAGGCAAGTTAAAAGACTGCTCTATGCAGGCTCTGCTCCTGCTTTAAATGACATGCAAAGACGCAATGCACATTTAACCCATGCAAAACATCAAATGTGCCAGATCTGACCCACTTAAGGCTTTAGTAATGAATGCATCAATGGTGAAATCTTGTTGCCCTGACCAGGCATTCAGTTATTAATTAGTCATTTTCCGCATTTCTATTTTAAACAGCGATTGTTCTTCATGTTAATGCATCTACAGTGCTGCTGCTTTCTCAAACTAAGTCTGCTGTGTGTAAAGATGCAAGGATCTATGAATGCAAAATATTAAAAATTGCCAGCACTGACCCA